CTACATAACAGAGACATGAGACTTAGTCCCAGACTGATGTGCTGGCTGTAGCATGTCTGCATTAAATGTGGAGGATGGGCATATGGTTGGAATTACCATCAGAGGGGATTGCCTGCACATGGTGAGCCAGTCACATCTGGTCAGTGAGCTCAGATTTGTGTAAACGGATGGATATTACCTCATCTGTAATGGAACTAGGGGGATGAGACTGTGCAATTATCCTAGGTTAAGGAAAGGATGACCACCTGAACCTCACTGCATTTACTGATTGTAGTAAAGTGATTACAAAGAAACACACCACTTTGCCTGATATACTGTATACTTTACTGAAAGTCCACAGTGATTTGTGCTTAAATATATATATAAATATATATATATATATACATATATACACTCCACTCACCGGACACTTTATTAGGTACACCTGTTCAATTACTTGGTAACACAGATTGCTACTCAGCCAGTCACATGGCAACAACTCAATGCATTTACGCATGTAGATGTAATGAAGTCGACTTGCTGAAGTTAAAACCGAACATCAGATTGGGGAAGAAAGGACACTTAAGTGACTTTGAACGTGGCATGGTTGTTGGTGCCAAACGGGCTTGTCTGAGTATTTCAAAAACTGCTGATCTACTGGGATTTTCGTGCACAACTCTAGGGTTTACAGAGAATGGTCAGAAAAAGAGAAAATATCCAGTGAGCAGCAGTTGTGTGGACGAAAATTCCTTGTTGATGTCAGAGAGCAGAGGAGAATGGACAGACTGGTTGCTGCGACATTCAGATGGTAGAGTCAGAATTTTGCATAAACAACATGAAAGCATGGATCCATCCTGCCTTGTATTAACGGTTCAGCCTGGTGGTGGTGTAATGGTGTGGGGGATATTTTCTTGGCACTAGAAAGGTGTACCTAATAAAGTGGCCAGTGAGTGTGTGTGTGTTTATATATATATACATACATACATACACACACACCATATATGGTAGTATATGGTATAGCACATCTCATTTTCAGATATAGTTAAAGAATTTATTTGGTGCTTGCACTTAATGTAGTATTAAACCGAAAAGCAAACATTTATTATATTGCAGCTTATCAATTCTTAGATGTGATGGCTGCATTCGTTTTCTTTTTTACCTCTTTTTTTAAACTGGTGATCCTGCCAGTAAGTTTGTAGGCAGGTGCTGTCTGTTTTCTCCATTGTAGGAAGTGCTCAGTCTGCGTAGCACCACAGCCTGGAGAGGAAGTCCAAGGGAAACACCGTTTCTCTATGGTTTCGTAGGTCAATGGAGCAGCGTTCCAGTTGGCTATGCTGCGGTCATGTGACCCTTGGCGACCATCTTGGGTCAGCAGAGTCCATTTAAGTCACTGCCCCTGAGTTTTGGTGTGCTTCTTGTGTGTGACTAGTGTACGGAGAGAGACCCCGCCTGTTAGGGAAAGTAACTAGTGGTAGGGAAAGGTTACTGATGAGGAGGGACAGGCTAGGTACTCGCTACCCTGGAAAGGAGCTTCCTTCATGGGACCAGACCGGTCAGGCCATGCTTTACCCTCTGAAACAGATGCTGTCGGCACCTCTTCATCACATCTAGTAAGAAACGAGTAACTTTGGCGTACAGGAGTAAAGTAGCGTAAGAGTGAAAAGGATAAAAATTATAAAGTAAAAGGTGATAATGGCAATATTGGCATACAAGTACTTAAAACAGGGTATATAAATACATTGGTGTACAATAAGTCCTTATAAGAGTCTCTCAGGCAGTCCGCCTGGAATCTTTTTAGCACAAAAAGATGGCAGCAGTCCTCGGAGCAAGCCAGCTCTGTATGCAGGGACAGTAGAAAAGAGACAGACAGGCGCCTCCTGTCTCTTTTCTTCTCTCCACCACAGCTGACTACATTGAACTGTGAGTAATTTCCCTAGCTGCAACATTGGCATTGTAACATTGGCATTCTGTTTAATACAAGTTCCAAGTTCTATTGCAACCAGACTCTCTGTATGTACTGTCCAAACCACACTGCACCTCCCCACAAGTTTGTTGCTTTTCAAAAGCTCAAGCTCTCCAGAAGAATGCATCAATTTACATGGATGAGACAAACCATTTAACACTAGCCCGGGTAATTAAAATGATCAGCTTTTATGTGAAAACCTTGTAAAACCTTTATGCCAAAATAAAAAAATCTGTTTGCTGTAACTGATTATAAAAGTGTGAGCTGGAGTTTGGCTTCAATTTGCTAGTGTATTCAAATCTGCTACTACATTTACCACTCCCTTCCATCCCAAATGCTGCTGTCTGCTGTGCCTCCTGTGCTCTTTCATCCAGAGTTGTGTCTCACTAATACAGAAGGTTACTGGCCAGATCACCAGATGAAAACAGAGGGAAAAGCCAAAGACAAGAAAACTGATGCAGCCACCACATAATAATAATTGGTAAGATGCAATACTTTTTTGTGTTGGGTTTATTGCCGTTTTAAGCACCCACGAAAGTATTCCAAGCAAGAAATAGAAAGTGAATTGTAATCCTTATTATTCTTTTTTTTTGTTCTTCTACCTAGATTTTTTAAACAAAAATTATCGATTGCTAGTTTGCTCCCAGCACATTCAAAGAATTACCCAACAATAAGTGCCCATGTGGCATCACTGCCCTAATAAAGAGGTAATAATAAATGTACGTATCTGGATGCAGAGTAATACGATATATTGCTTCTTAGTTATTATTCTCCCCCTTCAGAGAAGGCAATATTACTTGCCCTGTAGCCACCACAGACTTAAAAGTATGATCCCCATTGGATCTCCAACAGGTCACCTGAGATCCCTCAATGGCAAGAAGCCTGAACTTTCTTTTTCTCTTTGGAGGGGCCTGCTCTGCATAAAGAGCATTGTCATCCTGTGAAGAGAGTAGTGTTAGATATACTTCATTTTGTTATATACAGTCATGTCCATAAATATTGGGACATCGACACAATTCTAACATTTTTGGCTCTATACACCACCACAATAGATTTGAAATGAAATGAACAAGATGTGCTTTAACTGCAGACTGTCAGCTTTAATTTGAGGGTATTTACATCCAAATCAGGTGAATGGTGTAGGAATTACAACAGTTTGCATATGTGCCTCCCACTTGTTAAGGGACCAAAAGTAATGGGACAGAATAATAATCATAAATCAAACTTTCACTTTTTAATACTTGGTTGCAAATCCTTTGCAGTCAATTACAACCTGAAGTCTGGAATGCATGGACATCACCAGACGCTGGGTTTTATCCCTGGTGATGCTCTGCCAGGCCTCTACTGCAACTGTCTTCAGTTCCTGCTTGTTCTTGGGGCATTTTCCCTTCAGTTTTGTCTTCAGCAAGTGAAATGCATGCTCAATCGGATTCAGGTCAGGTGATTGACTTGGCTATTGCATAACATTCCACTTCTATCCCTTAAAAAACTCTTTGGTTGCTTTTGCAGTATGCTTTGGGTCATTGTCCATCTGCACTGTGAAGCGGCGTCCAATGAGTTCTGAAGCATTTAGCAGATAATATTGCCCGAAACACTTCAGAATTCATCCTGCTGCTTTTGTCAGCAGTCACATCATCAATAAATACAAGAAAACCAGTTCCATTGGCAGCCATACATGCCCACGCCATGACACTACCACCACCATGCTTCACTGATGAGGTGGTATGCTTAGGATCATCAGCAGTTCCTTTCCTTCTCCATACTCTTCTCTTCCCATCACTCTGGAACAAGTTGATCTTGGTCTCATCTGTCCATAGGATGTTGTTGCAGAACTGTGAAGGCTTTTTTAGATGTCGTTTGGCAAACTCTAATCTGGCCTTCCTGTTTTTGAGGCTCACCAATGGTTTACATCTTGTAGTGAACCCTCTGTATTCACTCTGGTGAAGTCTTCTCTTGATTGTTGACTTTGACACACATACACCTACCTCCTGGAGAGTGTTGATCTGGCCAACTGTTGTGAAGGGTGTTTTCTTCACCAGGGAAAGAATTCTTCGGTCATCCACCACAGTTGTTGTTTTCCGTGGTCTTCCGGGTCTTTTGGTGTTGCTGAGCTCACCGGTGCGTTCCTTCTTTTTAAGAATGTTCCAAACAGTTGTTTTGGCCACGCCTAATGTTTTTGATATCTCTCTGATGGGTTTGTTTTGTTTTTTCAGCCTAATGATGGCTTGCTTCACTGATAGTGACAGCTCTTTGGATCTCATCTTGAGAGTTGACAGCAACAGATTCCAAATGCAAATAGCACACTTGAAATGAACTCTGGACCTTTTATCTGCTCATTGTAATTGGGATAATGAGAGAATAACACACACCTGGCCATGGAACAGCTGAGAAGCCAATTGTCCCATTATTTTTGGTCCCTTAACAAGTGGGAGGCACATATGCAAACTGTTGTAATTCCTACACCGTTCACCTGATTTGGATGTAAATACCCTCAAATTAAAGCTGACAGTCTGCAGTTAAAGCACATCTTGTTCGTTTCATTTCAAATCCATTGTGGTGGTATATAGAGCCAAAAATGTTAGAATTGTGTCGATGTCCCAATATTTATGGACCTGACTGTAAATAAAAGCTGACTAGTGTAAGCGCCTCTGTCAGTTAAAGAGTTTGCCACAACCCTCTATCTGCCGATTTTGCTGGACAGCTAAACAGCTCCTCTGTTAACCACTTGCCTACAGGGCACTTATACTCCCTTCCTACCCAGGCTAATTTCCAGCTTTCAGCGCTGTTGAGCTTTGAATGACAATTGCGCGGTCATGCAACACTGTACCCATATGACATTTTTATCATTTTTTGTGACAGACAGAGCTTTCTTTTGGTGGTATTTAATCAACTCTGTGTTTTTAATTTCTTAAACAAACCAAAAACCACAGAAAATTTTGAAAACATTTTTTTTCTTAGTTTTTGTTATAAAATTTTGTAAAAAAGTGATTTTTCTTCTTCACTGATGTGCGCTAATGAGGCTGCAGTGATGGGCACTGATAGGTGGCACTGATGGGCACTGATGAGGAGGCTCTGGTAGGTGGCACTGATGGGCATTGACAGGCTTTACTGATGGGCACTGAAAGGCAGCACTGATATATGGCACTGATAGGTGGCACTGACTGGCACAGTTAGGCGGCACTGACTGACACTGATATGCGGCACTGATAGGTGGCATTGATTGGCAGCACTGATAGGTGGCACTGATTGGCATTGATAGGTGGCACTGACTGGCACTGATGGGTGACACTGACAGCTGGCACTGATGGACACTGACCGGTGGCACTGCTGGGGCTACACTGATCATCAGGGTACACTGATCATCCCGTATGGGCAAGCAGAATTACTGACAGATCTGCAGGAGCCCCGCATGGCACCAGCGATCAGCAGATGCTTTATAGGTTCCTGCAGCCAAAAACAATAAATGCACATTTTTTTTACCAAAAAAATGTGCATTTATTATTTTTGTGCAGAAGGTGAACTTATCTTTTAAGGTCTTCTTTGCATTCTTAAAATTCCTCAAATACATAGTCAGCAAGGCCAAAAAGCATCAGTACAAGAGATGCACTTGTTGTGATGGGTCACATTATTTATAAGAATCCTTGAGACATCTCCAGAAAACAGAAGCAAAGTTCAAAGGTCAAGTGTGACAGTAGCCATTAAGTATATTGCTTAAAAGCTTCTGCCAGGACCATGTGACATCAAAAAGTAAAGAGCAGAATTATAAAGAATGCCCCTTAATGCAGCAATGTCAGTGACCCGATGAAAATTGTATCAATCATCTTCTCTGTCACAAATGCTTTTTATTATCAAACAATTATTCATGTTTCTGAAAATTTTTCACAATGAAAATTTTTGATGTTTGATATGGGTTACTGCATTTATGAAATCAGCACTTAAAGTAGACCCAAACTTAAACAATAAGATTTTTCTATAAATATTATTAATATAGAAATATTAATTATTATGGATGCACCAATACTGGTATCGGTGCTGATACCGAGTATTTTCACAAGTACTCATGAAAATGTTTCTGATACCAGAAACCGATACTTTGTGGTGCAATTTGTATCAACACAAATTGCACCGCAAAGATTAGTATGCGATTTGACCAGGAATGCTAATCCTGTCCAAATTGCATGCGGTTTCCCCACCATGGCAAGCCTGGGTTCACACAGGAGCGGTGCGGGAAACTTCCATGCAGTGATCCAATGCATAGCGGAGAGTGGGCATGTGGGGATGTATACCATGGAGGAAAATGCTCCATATTATCAGTGGTATGAGAGGAGAGAAAGTGGCAGGGACTTCAAATCCCCACCACTTTCTCTTCTCTCCTTTCAGGGATGACAGTTTGGGGTAGAGGCCTTTTGATTGGTCAGCTCTGTCACATGGATGGTGTTGACCAGATGCCCTCTAGCCTGAATTGTCATCCCTTTAAAAGTGGACAGGCCCAAATAAGTAGCAAATCTGGTTTTTTTACGAGAGTACTCCTTCCCCCATCCGCCCAGGGGGTGCAGGGGTACTCAATCAGATCCTCTCCTACACCACTGAGGGGTTGGTGGCTGCTACCAAGCCTTTTAGCTGGGCTGCTCCTTCCCTGCTGTACAGGTAGTCCTTGGTCTGGGGCCAGTGAAATCTTTAGCTTTCTTTCTTGCCAGCTCCACTGCCTGTAGGTGACCCCCTCTCTCCATCTGGGTTCCCTCCCAGGCTCCTGCCTTCAGCAATACATCTTCCTCACTGTCTTCCACCTGAACTCTCCTGCAGCTGAACAGGCTTAGTTACTTTTAAGGGTTGCCCTAGCCCCTTGCCAAGCCTCCTGTTGTGGATTGGCTAGGATCTCTCAAGAGTACAAGCCAGCATCTCATCAGATCCACCCACTGCCTCCAAGCCTTCCTCCAAAGCTCTAGAAAAGGGGGAAATTCCAGAGCCTTCCTGCAGAGCCTCTCAGCTCCTAATCCAAATTTGACCTCCTTCCTATTACACACAGGCTGCTAATCAGCCATCCTTTCTAACAATCAGGATTCTAACTCCCTCTAGCTAAATAGGAGGGAGTTACATAAGACTTAAGCTGGGCATGGGCTCAGTCTATAAAGCTGTAATGTATGTGTTATTTACCATAATGATTGCTATATTCAGCTTTTATTGGATGTCATTGCTGAGAGATTTAAAAAAATGGCTGCATTAGTTTTCTTTTTTAGACTTCCTATCTTCTATTTTCACATGGTGATATGGCCAGTAAGTCTGTTATTTTTCAAAAGAACAAACTCTCTTGCAAATGTATCATTACAGAAATGAGACAAACCATTCAACACTGGCAGAGGGGTTTACAATAGTCAGTTTTATTTATTTATGTTAAATCTTTATCCCAGAATGAAAAAAAAATGTTTGCTGTAACTGATTATAAAAAGTGAGCTGGAGTTTGGCTTTAATTTAATTGTGTATTTAAATTGCTAGTATATCTAACACTCCCCTCCCCTTATACTGACAATGCTGCTGTCAAAATGTGCCCCATGTGCTCCTTCATTCAGAGTGGAGGCACTCTAATACAGGAAGCGTGTTCCTGGCCAGATCACCTAGTGAAAACAGAGGGAAAGTCTAAAAAAGAAAATCGATGCAGCCACTACATCTAATGTTTGGTAAGCTGCAATATATATTACATTTTTTGCTTTCCACTGGTGTACAGGCTATTGATAAATATAAAATGTACATAGGTTGTATTGCATATTTACCCTATTCACAAGTCATAACACAAATACTGTAAAATGTTTTTTTTTGTACTGAGTATTAAAGAAAATGAGAGCCTATAAAAGAAAAAAAAACACTATAGAACTCCTTTTAATGCAAGAGAGTCTTATATTGTGCTCAGCGCCAGCTCAAGTAGATAATTCCTTCTCTACATGTCTAATAACACATGATAAATGATCAGCACAATGTAACAATGTCTAAATGGCTTACACTGCAGGTGGGGAATGCCAAATACTGTACTGGAAAGACAGTTAAAACTGTTTCTAAATAGAAGAACAAACATGTTATCAAACACTGAATCACAAACCGGGAAAACAAGTTCAATACAACATTTTGTTAAATAAATTTTGAAAGTCATTTTAAAGCAGAATTTCAGAAAAAAAACAACTTTGGATTGGGTTGTGGGTGATGGAGGCTGCATCAGCTGTGAGTAAAGCTATCCTCAGGGGCTATATACACACTCACTGGCCACTTTATTAGCTACATCTTGCTAGTACTGGGTTAGACCCTCTTTTGTCTTCAGACCTGCCTTAATTCTTCATGGTGTAGATTCAACAAGGTGTTGGAAACATTCCTTAGAGATTGGTCCATATTGACATGACTTACTGCTGCCTTCCTATCATCTCGAACCCGTCTGCCCATTCTCCTCTGACATCAACAAGGCATTTTCGTCCACACAATTGCCACTCACTGGATATTTTCTCTTTTTTGGACCATTCTCTGTAAACCCTAAAGATGGTTGTGCGTGAAAATCCCAGTAGGTCAGCAGTTTTTGAAATACTCTGACCAGTTGTCTGGCAACAAAAACCATGCCACATTCAAAATCCCCTTTCTTCCCCCTTCTGATGTTTGATTTGAACTTCAGCAAGTCATCTTTACCATGTCTAGATGGCTAAATGCATTGAGTTGCTGCCATGAGATTGGCTGATTATCAATTTGTGTTACCAAGCAATTGAACAGGTGTACCTAATAAAGTGTGAATTTTGTCTATGTTTGCAGGGTATGTTGTATACAGTTGAAAGCAATATGTATATATAGTGCACTAAATGTATTTGCATTCATCCCCATGGAAGATGCACTTGTCTAAAAGGCCTTTTTTGTGCCACAATGCAGCGGTACTGCGTACAAGCACCTCCAGGCACTGGTCCTATATTGTGGGTGTCTTGCATCTTCTGGTGACTGCCCCAGTCCCAAAGCTGTGACCATCCACAATTTTTTTTCTGTTATTTATGCAACTGCCAGCGTCTGTTCCTGTCTGCCAGTCTCATGACCACCCACCACCTGTCAGACTTATATCAGAGTGCCAAAAAGACATTTCCAAGAACTTTCCTTACCTCTGTGCTACAGGCCTTACAGGTCAGAAGCCATCAGCCATATACGTGACCTATAGAAAGACAAATGTGGGTGATCGGGGCATTGACATGGGCAGATGTAGTGCAATGCCCAATGTTGGGTGAGTACAATACTGGGAAGAGGGAATTAGTGCTGGAAGTGTTTTTTTCACGGGGGAAGGGGGATTTATTGACAGAATGGGGGAATTTTTGCTTGGGAGGCACTCTGCATCTTACCTACTCTTGATCTCTACTACCTGTTTCCCCTTACTTTTCATCCCTTCACTCTGTATTTTACGCACTACATTTATGGGAGTGCACCATGCTATGCATGCCTGTTGGCAAGGTGCATTGGCTATCAGAACAGTGTGTGTTGCTGCAACACAACAATTTAAATCCAGCATTAATGACCATTACCATTTAGTACACGACAGCTTAGAACAAGCTTCTAATCAAGAACGGGAGATAATTGGAAGGAGCCTTTCTTTAATAGCATTTAATTACGCATAAAGATACTTGATTTCCATTGTGCAATAGCCCTAAAATATAGTGAACATTCTTTTATTTTATTTATTTTCCAATATTTTTATTCTTCAATCAGTACATCCAAATACAAAAAAGGTATTAATTTCACAAATTCATTAATCAATGTTGGTTTTTCCTTCTTGGCACAATCAATACTGCAAATTCAATAAATATCAGGACTCTGGTATTGAAACAACTTTTGAATTCTAAGGCCTCCCACCTTCTGTGATCATTATTTATTAAAAAAGGTGTATCACTGGGAGTGGTACTCCATGGCATGGGTAAACTCTGGCTGGATGATCTTTTTGGAATGGGCAAAATAATGGTTTATACAGTCTGTTAGCATACACACTTTACTAGCATTTCATTTTCGAATGGGCTTTTCCTCCCTTCCATGTTTGTGAATTGTAGAATCTTGCATTGTAGCTCTTGGGTCCAGAAAGTAATTTTGATCAGGCATAAACAGCACTGCAGCACCAGCAATAACGTTCAGGTGAGCATTCTTTCAATATGAAAATACAATGTCTTTAGAATTAAAGGTAAATTCCCACCAGTGTTTTTAATTTCCAAGATTGGGGGCTACTAGTGGCTTATGGAGAGATTGCTGATGGTCTGCTGTGTTCTAGCTAAGCACTGATCAAATAAATTAAGTTATGAAGTTATATATTTTTATATAAATTTTCAATACATATTTTTAAACAGGGCAAGAGCAGAGTCTTGTTCTGTGTTAGCCATCAATAATATGGAAAGTTTGTAGTTACAGATATACTTTACAAGCTTTTGGAACACATTAGGTTTTTTTTATAATGCTATTTTAAATCCCAGTTCCACTCCCACTGCTTCCCATCTTCCCCTGAAGCCTCCCTCATGGCTGTAAAAAATTGTATATATATATCTATATATATATATATATATATATATATATATATATATATATATAGTTGCAAGAAAAAGTATGTGAACCCCTTGGGATTACGTGGAGTTTTGCATAAATTGGGCATAAAATGTGCTCTGAACATCATCTAAGTCACAACAATAGAAGAACACAGTCTGCTGAACATAATACTACACAAACTTTAGATGTTGCCATGGTTTAATTGGACATAACATGTAAACATTCACAGTGCAGGGAGGAAAAAGTATGTGAGGCCCTAGCTTAATGACTTCTCTCAGAGCTAATTGGAGCCAGGAGTGAGCCAACCTTGACTCCAATCAGTGTGATGATATTGGATGTGTTGCTGACAGCTGTCCTGCCCTTAAAAAACACACACCTGTTTTGGGTTTACTGGTTTCAAGAAGCACTGTCTGATGTGAACCATGCCTCGCAGAAAAGAGCTCTCAGAAGACCTACAATCAAGAATTGTTGACTTGCATGAAGCTGGAAAGGGTTTCAAAAGTATCTCCAAAAGCCTTGTTGTTCATGTGTCCATGGTAGGACAGACTGTCTACAAATGGAGAAAGTTTTGCACTGTTGCTACACTCCCTAGGCGTGGTCGTCCTGTAAAAAAATGACTGCAAGAGCACAGCGCAGAATGCTGCATGAGGTAAAGAAGAATCCCAGAGTGTCAGCTAAAGACCTACAGAAATCTCTGGCACATGCTAACATTTTTGTTGACACATCTACAATAAGGAAAACATTAAACAAGAATGGAGTACATGGGAGGACACCACGGAGGAAGCCATTGCTGTCCAAAAAGAATATTGCAGCACGTTTGAAGTTTGCAAAAGAGCACCTGGATGTTCCACAGCACTACTGGCAAAATATACTGTGGACAGATGAAACCAAGATTGAGTTGTTTGGGAAGAACACACAACACTATGTGTGGAGAAAGAAAGGCACAGCACACCAACATCAAAACCTCATCCCCACTGTAAAACATGGCGGAGGGAGCTTAATGGTTTGGGGCTGCTTTGCTGCCTCAGGGCCTGGACGGATTGTTGTCATTGATGGGAAAATTAATTCCAGAGTTTATCAAGACATTTTGCAGGAAAACGTACGACCATCTGTCCACCAACTGAAGCTCCGCAGAGGATGGGTGATGCAACAGGACAATGACCTTAAGAGAGCGATTCACACCAGACATCCCAAGAATATTGCTACACTGAAACAGTTTTGTGAAGAGGAGTGGTCCAAAATTAGTCCAGATTGTTGTGCAGGTCTGATCTGCAACTACAGGAAACGTTTTGTTGAGGTTATTGCTGCCAAAGGAGGGTCAACCAGTTATTAAGTCCAAAGGTTCACATACTTTTTCTTCCCTGCACTGTGAATGTTTACATGTTATGTGCAATTAAACCATGGCAACATCTAATGTTTGTGTAGTATTATGTTCAGCAGACTGTGTTCTTCTATTGTTGTGACTTAGATGACGTTCAGAGCACATTTTATGCTCAATTCATGCAAAACTCCATGTAATCCCAAGGGGTTCACATACTTTTTCTTGCAAAAAAAAAAAAAAATAACTGTATATATATATATATATATACCTTTTCCAGATGTCATCTGGCTGATCATGTGGTACATAGTGTCCTTATTGGCCCTTATTCATTGGTGGGTGGTCCTTGATGCAGAAAGTGGCATTGACATAACATTATGAGCATCAATTAACCCAAAAGACTGAAGACAAAAGTTGAGGAAAAGAATTACTGAGAGGTGGGTTTAGCACCAGAGATTAGATGAGCATTGCAGTAAGAGCTATTTTTTTGTTTTAAACCCCTTCGGAGGGACTTTTTATTAGTTGAGAATATTAAAAGATTAATTTGGAGTAAATGTTTGCACTCTACTGTATACTATAGCAGTGGATGTCTTATAGGAAGTGTTAGATAGTAAAAAATAAAATGATTGGTTGCTAATGGTTACTGTATTCTGCACTGCCTTAACACATAGGGTTTTGGTCCTATATGTATTATATAATACTGTATAAAATTTTATGATGTAACATCCCCTTACTAAATGTTCACTTTAATTTTCTGGGCTCAAATTGCGGCACGATCAAAAACTTTTTATTGCTTCTAATTTTCAGGATGCAGTAGAATATACATGATCCTCAGTTGATGAGATCATTTTTCCCCACCTCCCTCCAAAGGCAAGCTTTAATAGAGGAGCGTAAATGCTTTTCAAAGATAAATCACCAGACTCCCATCACCCACAGCATTTAAAATTTTCCATGATCTGCTTAACAAATTAGATCCTTCAGCATTGATCAATGAGATCTGTGATGCACAGGTTGTGCTGTAGCTGAAACATGTAAATGACCTGTGCTTTTAGGATAAATAGTATTTGTCAAAGAAGGGATAAGGAGAAAAAAGGCACTGCACAATTGATCTGGTTCTCCCCTGTAACATAGTTTTAGTTCCTGTTTATCCTGCCATGACTAGTGTAGAAGAGATGTGCTAGTTAAGACCCCTACACCACTCTCTCTCTGTCTCTCTCGATATACCCCCTTAAATATACCAATAAAGAAGACCAAAACACCGTTGGAGTAAAATGGCCATCACGGCCTTTTATTAACAATTCAACTTCAATAACACAAAAACATTCCTTAAATCAGAAACATACAGAAGAAGTTGTTGGTCTTCGAAGACACCAAAGAAAACCAATATCCTCCTGTGGAACCTTAACAATATTATTAATACTAGGCCTCCAGCCGCAACGCACCGGCTCGGAGACAAAACACACCTTCTGCAGTGCAGAACCTCCACCTTCCAGTTAAACCTCGGTTAACTGGAATGCACCCGGGCACACCATACCGCCGATAGGTCCCAACCATTCACTTTAGCTTAAAATTATTTGCCGCTTCCAAAGACCAACAACTGCCCCCAGAGCCAGAACAAACCGGGAACTGAAAAACACAAACAAACCCCAAGGGAGGGTGGGAGGGAAGTTTGCTCTTCCGCTGCCATTCCTGCACTGGTTTGTTCACCCCTCCACCACTTCCAAAAGTGTCGAAAACCCCTCCCCGCACACCCATCATCAATCAGGTAACCTACACATTTTATTACCTCCCACCTTTACTTAAGTCTTTCCTGTGTTTCCTACCCTCTTCACCTAGTCATGTCTGCCTTCTGCTATTTTTTCTCTTTCTTTCTTTTTTCGCTACGGGCACCACTGTAGATTTATTATTGTGTCTACTTCTTATAGCAGGGCAAATGCCCAGCAAAAGTTATGGGTACAGGAAGTCCCAGTCTCAGCTGCTAAATGGTCAGAGCATCTCAAAATCAGCTAGCAGCGAACACTGACTTTAGCAGATGGATGAATGTGTAGGGACCCTGCCCTAAGCAGGAGTGTCCTTAAATGTAGTGTTGTAGCTAGGCTGTAGTCAGCCTGAGCTCTGAATGTGTCTTTACTGGATCTTCAAAAAAATTGTAGAGTTGTATTGAATTTTGCCTATATTCTATTGATTGCCATGTCATAATTAAAAGCATTGATCTATATTGTTTTCAATAAGGTAACCTAACCACTTCAATATCACCATACGCATGTATACTACCTCGTGTTGAAGTGGTTATACCTAGATCATGGTTGAGCCTACAATCATGATTCCTGTATAATTTTTTACAGTGAGCGATTCCCTACATGGCAAAAGTAATCCTAGCAGCTATATAGCCTCTGGATTACTTTTACAGGCGACAGAAAGCCCCCCTCCCTCCAGCTACCGACACCTTTACGGGGCTTTCAGGGAGCCCAGTAAGGATGCAACCAGTGGCATTGGCTTCCTTGGACACAGTGAGAGGAAATTATGTTATTCCTCTCACTGTGTGATGTCAGAAATCGGATTTTGTCCCTTTCGGTTTCAGTTTGTTTACAAGCCGTTGCTGGCTTGTGAATCATCATATCATACTGATCGTATAGACCCCAGATCTCTCCAGAGAGGACCTGTCATGATCCATGCTATCACAAATGATGTTGTTTATCCCTTGTGATAGCAATAAAAGTGATGAAAAAAAATTAAAGGTACAGTGTAAGAATAAAAAAATGAAATAAAATAAATAATAATGTAGAAAAAAATTCTAAGAGCCTTGTCCTCTCATGCTCATGTGCTAAGGCAAATGCACTCATCAGTCCAACATGCATATGTAAACAGTGATTGCACGGCATATGTGAGGAATCACCACAAATGTCAAAACGAGTGCAGTAATTCTAGGGCAAAACCTCCTGTGTAACTCTAAACTGGTAAACTGTAAAGGCTTTTAAAGTGTTGCCTATGGATAATTTAAAGTACTGTAGATTGTCTCCACTCCATGGGTGTGTGCAATTTTATCCACTTCAAGTCCGGACACTTTCACCCCCTTCCAGTCCAGGCCAATTTTCAGCTTTCAGCACTGTCACACTTTGAGTGACATTTACTCAGTCATGCAACACTGTACCCATATGAAAATTGTATCCTCTTTTTGAGACAGATAGAGCTTTCTTTTGGTGGTATTTGATAACCATTGGGTTTTTATTCTTTGTTATATAAATGAAAAAATACCGAAAATGTTGAAAAATAACATTTTTCAAATAAATAATTTTTCTTCATAAATTAGTATAAGGTCAAAATGTATTCTGCTACAATGTATATTCTGCTAAATTTTTTGGGTAAAAATAACCCAAAACAGTGTATATTATTTAGTCTGTGTAAAAGGTTTCGAGCAGAATATACATTGTAGCAGAATACATTTTGACCTTATACTAATTTATGAAGAAAAATTATTTATTTGAAAAATTTTATTTTTCAAAATTTTCGGTATTTTTTTCATTTATATAACAAAGAATAAAAACCCAATGGTTATCAAATACCACCAAAAGAAACCAGGATGCTGGTATGGGGTATGGCAGTGATCTTGACATTAGCATGAGGTATGGTGGTGAACAGGACACAGGTATGGCGGTAGTCTGGATGCTGGTATGGGGTATAGGGGTGATCAGGATGCTGGTATGGGGTATGGCAGTGATCAGGATGCTGGTATGGGGTATGGCAGTGATCAGGATGCTGGTATGGGGTATGGCGATGATCAGAATGCTGGTATGGAGTATGGTGGTGATCAGAGTGCTGGCATGGGGTATGGTGGTGATCAGGATGCTGGTATGGGGTATGGCAGTGATCAGAACGCTGGTATGACATATGTGGTGATCAAGATGCTGGTATGGGGCATGTCAGTGATCAGGATGCTGTTATGGGGCATGGCGGTGATCAGGATGCTCGTATGGGACATGGCGGTGATCAGGATGCTCGTATGGGACATGGCGGTGATCAGGATGCTGGTATGGGGTATGGCGGTGATCAGGATGCTGGTATGGGGTATGGCGTGATCAGAACACTGGTATGGCAGCGATCAAAACATTGGTATGGTGTATGGAGGTGTTTTTGTGCTCAGTGGGACAGGTGACCGGGGATGGCTGCATTATTTGTAATAGATACTCTGGGGCAGTGATCAGGGACACAGGGGTAGCCGGCACTGCAGTTTGTGAGTGTACAAGCAGCCTGACAGGCTTCTGTACATTCACAGGCTGCAGGACCACTTCACCTTGCTCTCACACTGAGAACAGTGAGAAGCAATCTTTACTTTCACTTTGCAGTGTTTACAATGTGACTGCTGTGATTGGCCACAGCAGTCACATGGTATAACACCATGTGATCGCCTGGACACAGAGGTAATGTGATCCGCTGAATCCAGGCAATATATATCGATCGCCAGACTCCCGATCGCATGCTCTGTGAGCCGTACAGGAGCCGCCGATGCAGGCTGATGTACAGGTTCGTTAGCCCGCATCGGCAAAGCTTCCAAGCCGCTGTCTATGTGCAATGTGCAATGGGCGGACGGAAGCAGTTAAAGCATGACATGTTTGGTATCTATTTGGCATAACATCATCTTTTATATTTTACCAAAAAATTGGGTATTATATTCTGTTTGTGTTCACTAAAATTAATTAAATTGTATTTTTTTCCATAAAATCTGAAAAACCGTTGCGGAACTACTGTGCGACATAAAAAATTGCAACACTCACCATGTTATTCTCTATGGATTGTGCTTAAAAAATATATAATGTTTGGGGGCTCTAAGTAAATTTCTAGCAAAAAAAAAAAAAAAAATGCAAATTTTGACATGTATGATAGAATTGTCAGAATTGGCACAGGAAGCTAGTAGTATTGAGAAGCCACACAGGGGTTGGACAAAAAAATAGAAATACTACATGATTTGTAGGTGTGAATGTGATGACATGTTTTGCATTGAAAGCAGAAGTGAAGTAACATTTGTTTGCTTCTGCTGTGTGATGAGACACCTAGCTAACAGGTGGGAAGCCTCACTTTCTTCATTCACTGCATGCGCTGCTAGTAATGCAGAGTCCTGTCAGAGCTTACTGAGCTTCAGAGGGCAAATTGTTAGTGCTTGTTAGCTGGTGCCTCTGTGACTGAAGTTGCCAGTTTATTTGTGGTGTCACGAAGTACGGAATCAAAGGTTATGACAGCATATACAGTTTCTGGGAAACAGCTGACATGGTCAAATGATCAAAAGAGACAAAAGGACATTGTGAAAGATTGTGACCTGGAAAAAGAAAACAACTGCTGAAAAAGTGACTGCAGAACCCGACCTCAGTCTTCACGTAAAGTTTTGTCTTCTATCTCCTGCTTGAATTGTAATATCTTTGTATATCTGAAGTTAGTATATTTTGTGGATCGAGTAGGCAGTTTATGCTTTTGCCTTTTCTGTCCCATTGGGAAGATCTCCTTTTACCTTCTCCCCCATAGATTCAAGTGATGAAGGATATCTCTCCAAAATGACTGTATTCTCCTCTTAAACAGTTGTCACAGCAAGTGTCCCCATTAGAAGATTTTCCTCGATTCTTGTTCCAGTAACTTTGGCTGTATACACAATATAAAGTCAGCAACTGAGAAGACAGATTAAAAATTCTGCCACTGTCTGCGCTCCTTAGAACCACCAATACAAACATGTATAAAAGCACACTAAATCCCATTAAATAGTGCAGTTCCATGTTCTCCCAATCTTCTCCTCTAACAAGAAATCTAACAATAAAAGGAATTGCGTAACATTGTAGCCCATAAAACAGTAAAAGAAATGCTTAGTGAAGATCATATTTTTTTTGTCAGTCAGGTCCTTTGTGTAGCAGTGTGTGAAATGTGAGGCTATTGTAGATAATTTGTAGGGTGTTGATTCACACAATTGACATATTGATTTTGCAATGTTGTGCGACCAATCTTCAAGATTAAATCTATTCTTGGATTCTGTTAGTGATTCCTTATTTTTGCCAATATACGTAGAGACTACATATACAGTATGTATATTATGCGCTGCAACACTGTGTGTGGAAAAGTGCAACTTGTGTTGGTGGCAAACAGACCTGCAATTGTACAAGTCAGATTTTTGACCACTAGCAAAACATTGCCTGTTGCCTTGGAACACGTGATCCAAGGCAACAAGGAGCAAAACATATCAAAGAAGCAAGATTAGGGGAGAAAAGCTTATCTAATCCATCTATCTATCTAGAATGCGTGTGTGTTAATATAGAATATGGACAGAACCTATTTCGAAATCAAGCTGTATGATTAATATTATGAATAATTAAACAGAGTACTGTACAGTGTTGATTTAGCTATCTTTGCATGATTGCTCCGAGAACCCTCCGTGTACCCCTGTAGGTAAGAATAATGTATTAGTTCTCGCTCTTCTATTTATTCTCATGAGTAAGAATTCAGCAGATTTTTGTTGCTAAATCCTGAGTTCATTCTCTATTCAAATAACATATATTAGCTTTATGAGGTAATGTCTCCTCTGTTCTCATTATTTCATCACTGCTTCCATCCTAAATACATTCTTCCCTTCAAAGTGGTATCTTCTTATTATCCCTTCATCAGCCTAAGTCTATATGCACTTCATACTCTATCCACCTTCTCTCTCGTTCACTCTACCATCTCAGACATCTACCATTTCCCTAACAAACAAAAATTTCCCAACACACTTTCCAACTAGTCCACAAACAAACCAAACTGACCCTGTCTCACAAATCATGTAACAAATGGAAAATTTTGTTGCACACATTTGCAAATATATGTGGAAGCTGCAGTGCCCACGTCAAGGTTCCTCTGGATACTGTGGTCCTAACTCTATTTTTGCAAGGCTCCATGTTGGAGAATGTAAAGCTGTTGATAAATTAAGGGCAGGTTTGCCTAGAGGGAGCCCACTCCTCCTTAAAAGCACAGGGACATACTGGATGTCCAACAAAAGCACAGATGAAGAGCACAATGGCAGTTGAAGGCATCTACCCCTTCCGTGCCTACACTATCTACCAGCCCTCCCATCTGCTCTGAACCCACTCTTGCATCTACACCTTACAATCTATTTAATATTCATACATTCACTGCTCACAATCTCTGCCAGCCCTCCCATCTGTTCTGTATCCTTGTTAACACTAACCACGTACACCTAGCACTCTCTGTAGCATTCAATACTTTAACTATTGCGATCTCCCCCATCTTCCCATCAAGGCTGTATCCATTCCTATATCCACCCTTTACTTCATACAGTCTACACCACTATGTTTTCCTATATCTCCCCCTTGCACTTAGAACTTTACCACCCCTTCACTCTTTTTACAATCTCCATCAGCCTCCCTATTCTCTTTATATTCTGTCCAACCCCAACCTGTTTTACTCCATACACTGTCTTTTCCACTCTGTATAAATCTGTATTACCTCCATTTTTTACGATCAATAAGATTCATCATTTTTACTAAGATCTTTTACTACCATCCACTTTAATTCCTTCGTAATATCGATTCATTCCACTCTGCATTTTCTGTAACATTGTCACTACTTGGTGGAGACCAGGTTGATGAAAAGGGGCTTCTCTTGGAAGAGTGAGGACAAGCAGTGGCACAAGTACTGATGGAAGACACTGTAACCTGACAGACTGGAACTGAGCAGGAACACAGTATGGAGTCAGGTAAAGTTAGACACTGGAACAGCGGGCAGGAGTGAGGTCAGGAAACAAGCCAATGTTGGTAGTAAATGGTCAGCAGTACCAAGGTGACAGTAAGAAACATACTTAGTAGTTCAGAGTGAGGTCAGGATCGAGAGGACAGCAAAGATACTGATTCAGCAGACAAGAGGCAAGCAGAAGTGCTTGTCAGGTTGCAGGTCACATGGATTACATGAAGAGCATTTAACAACCTCCTTAGACAAGTCTGTGCTTCAAATAGTCTGCTAGGCACAAACAACTTTGCTGGGCATGTATGCACAACTGTAACTATACTGTAATATGTATCTTCCTGCAGCAGCCTCCATCCATGGTGATTTACTGGACCTCTCTGACAATCATCAACACCTTCCACTTAGTACCCTCTGTAACATCCATCCCTTCAACTCTAAACCCTCTGTAACATCCATTCTGTCCACTCTGTAACCTCTCTAACATCCACACCTTCCATTCTGTACTCTATCTATACTCTTTCTAACATCCACCTCTTCCACGATGAACCCTCTCTAACATCCACCCATCCCACTCTGTACTCTCTCCAAAATCCCATCCTTCTTCACTACGTACATCTCTAACATCCACTCATTCAACTCTGTACATTCTCTAACATGCATACTTTCCACCCTGTACCTTCTTTTAACATTCATCCCTTCCACTCTATACCCAAACATCCATCCTTTCCACTCTGTACCCAATCTAATATCCATCACTTTCACTCTGTACCCTCTCTAACATCCAAGCTTCCCATTTTATATTAGTGAAGGGTGAATCTGCCCAGGTTGCTTTGGCGAATCTTGTTTTGAACAAGATAAGTTCAAGTTTCAGCAAACTTGAACTTAGGGGCAAACCAATGGTCTATAGGGGTTGAATCTTGCTACATTCTGGCCATTTTTAAGGCTAGCAGGCAAATTACTGTAAATTAAAAGCCAAGGGAAACTGGGAACTGCCATGAGGCACAGTTACCAATACAAACAATTAAAAAAAAACAAACCATACAGCAGTGGGTGGGTCTTTTCATGGGGCTTCTAGAGCAACATTGAAAATATACAAATCCTTTAAAGTGGTTGTAAAGCCTAAACATGTTTTACCTTAATGCATTCCTTGCATTAAGTTAAAAATGTTTAGGTTAAAATATCATCCCCTTACCCCTACTTATATTTACCTGAGCCCCCACTTGATCCAGCGATGTGCTTGTCTGCAGCTGCTCTCTTCTCTTTTCCCTTCTCCCACAGGCTTGGCTGAGGGAGCGGAGGAATGGGGCTGAGCCTAGCTGTCTGTGTCAATGGACTTGCGAGCACACGTGTGTGTCATGAAAAGAAGAGGAGGAGCCAGGA